TGCCAATGAAAGAGTACGTTGATTCCAGGCATTTAAACGAGCTTGCATCTGATTTAAGATATAGCCAAACGTACTCTTTGTAACACGGCTATGACGAAGAGGAATACCCAAGTATTTACCCAAGTCATTAGTAGGAGAGTAGCCCATCAACTGGCTTAGATTCTGCACTCGGGTATGATTAACATTTCTGGAGAAGAAGACTTTTGTTTTTTCCTTGCTAACCTTCTCACCAGAGCACCTGCAAAAACAATCAAGAATCTTATTAATAATAACAGCTTGCCCTTCTGTGGCTTCTGTAAAGAGCAGAAGATCATCTGCAAAAAATAGATGGGAAAGCAGTGGTCCCCTTCTATTCAATCTGATAGGCTTCCAAACGTCCTCCTGAACTGCTACATTAATCAAATGAGCAAGTCTTTCCATGCAAAGGATGAAAGGATAAGGAGACAAAGGATCTCCCTGACGAAGACCTTGATTAGGAGAAAATTCTGTCGTAGTTGATCCATTCCATAACAAATTCATTGTACATGACGAGACACAACATATGATCAGAGAAATAATATTCTCAGGCAAACCAACATCCACAAGCGTGTCTTTCAGAAACTCCCAAGAAATCTTGTCATAAGCCTTTTCTAAATCAACTTTGACAGTCATCGAACCCTTACCTCCTCTTTTTTTATTCATGGAATGGATGATTTCCTGAGCCACAATGATATTATCCGCTCCTTGTCTACCCTTAATAAAACCACATTGATTAGTCATAACCAAGTGAGCCATATGAAATTTCAACCTATTAGCCACAATCTTAGTTACAGTCTTGTAAATAACATTACAAAGGCTAATAGGTCTAAAATCTTTAAGTAATTCAGGCACATCAATCTTAGGAATCAGAAAAATCAAAGTTTAGTTAACCTCTTTGATATTATCCGGATGAAGGAACACACCTTTCACAAAAGAGATAACTGACTCACCCACCTTATCCTACTGAGATTGAAAGAAAAGAGCATTAAGCCCATCCTTCCTAGGCGACTTGTATGGACCAAAAGAGAAGACTTCATCTCTGATCTCCTTACTGTTTGGCATAATACTCATCGTGTCTAAAGCATGCGCTCCAATAACTGGAAAAAAGCCACGAATTGAAAAAGCCGGTTTAGGTAATGGATCTTTTGTGTACAGATTTTCAAAGAAAGAAACAACCATTTCCATTAAAACCTGCTGATCACCAATCCAAACTCCCTCCGAGTTTTTCAACGTATCTATGCGATTCCTCCTACGTCTGGAAACCGTCACAGAATGAAAGAAATGCGAGTTCCTATCTCCAAGAGCAAACCAATTCAATTTCGATCTTTGAAACCAAGTGATTTCCTCTTGAAGATAAATCTTGTTTAGTTCCCTCCATAGATCCTTTTGCAACATCTCAAGGCTATGACTGTACTAATAACTAAGACATCTATCAATACCTAATCCTTGCATGCAAATCATTCTTTCTTTTCAGAGCAATCCTATAAACATTTTATGCCATTCTGAAGCATTAATTTGAAATGTCTCCATAGCATGCATCCAGTTTACATTGTTTGACCAACATCCATTAACCACCTCATGAAAAGTGCTCTCTGTTAACCAGGACGCTAGAAAACGAAAAGGACGCTCCCCTCTCGGATAAATAGCAGGTTGACCTTCCCATAATAACATGGTCGATGATCTGAGCCAAAGAAAGGTAAGTTGAAAGCCACACGGTTAGGGAAAACCAAGTTCCAATTATCATTAGCGCAAACCCTATGAAGACGTTCCTGAAGATTTCTTCTTTGCCAAGTGAAAATAGGACCTTGATTGCCAATGTCAAACAAGCTACATTCATCTAAACAATCACGAAATTCCCTCATGCTATTCCAGTTATGCCAATTACCACGTAGCTTCTCATACTCATACAAATAAGTGTTAAAATCACCTGCTATCCCCAAGCCGCATTCCTCATGGACTGATCAAACAGTGAAGACAGAATTTCCCACAGTTGAATACGTTCCTGTCTTCGCGGACTTGCATAAATAAAAGTCATGAACTCCTCTCTATTTTCTTTTACCCAACAAATTTTAGTATGAACAAGTTGGTGATGAGAAAACAGAACATCCACTGAAACTTCATCAGTGTTCCAAAGCACCCAAATACCGTCAGAAAAACCAACAGCATCACGATGAAAGTGACCAGAAAAACCAAGACGCCGAATAGCTCTATCCGCCATAACACCACTCAATCTGGTTTCTAACAAAGCCATAACTTTAATACTGTATCTATGAGAAAGATCCCGAATCAGAGGCGGAAAACTCCTTTTCCCAGCCCCTCTACAATTCCAGGTCAAAATATTCATAAAAACAATCTTAAATTATCCGAACAGAAACCGGCCCTAAGAAAGAGCATTGGTATATACCGAAGTTGCACCCAAAACGTCCAAATTATCCAAAGGGATAGAATCCTTGTGAGTTTGATAAAAATTCCTCATCAACGTAAGAGCATCTGGTGGTCTTCCATGTTTACCATCCAAGCCACTAGAAGAAGGAAGAGTCTCTTGCTGATCATTAACCACATGAGACGTCTTCCTCTGGAATTTAGATAAAGAAAGGTGCAAGACAATTTTGTCTATCTTGGAAATCCTCCGACATATTCTTCTGAGAATCAAGTTTAAAATTATTCTTTTGAGATTCTGCACCTTTTGAAGCATTTAATCTGCCTTTGCTAATATTAGCACTCTGGACCAGCTGATGAACTTTAGCAGATGATGCAGTTGCTTTCTTCTTTTGGTTCTCTTTGAATTCTACTCCTTGACTTTGGACCTCTTTTCTCGGCTTGCCCACAGATAGGTTAGCAGATGGAGAAACTGTTTCCATTTGAATATCCTTTTTCACCAATGGTTCTTCATTATGAGCAATTAATTCTCCATGATTAATTCGTGTCAGACCAGATTCAATGCTGATTGAATCAATCACTGGAGAATCAGAAATAATTAAGATATTATTATCCTTTTACGCCAACTCAGCAATAGCTTGAAATCTTGAACCTGATTGAATGACCTGTCTGTGATTAGGATGAGAATTGGAAACTGCCTTATTACGTAACGCTGCATTATTAACAACGCCAACTTGTCTCCTACCCGATGGTAATGATTCCTCCTTTGATTGTGCTATGCTCCTTGATCGACGGTTATGCTGCACCAGCATCCAATTCCCACAAACGGTTCCTCCTTTGCCGGAACAGAATCTTTTTCCGGCTGCTTATGCACCACCGAGTCAGAAACTTCAGGAGAATAAGCTGTAATATCTTGTTGAAGATTACTATGGGAACATTGATCCCTTCTATGCCCATACTTTCCACAAGCAAAACAAACTAAGTGGAGACCCTCATATCCAACGTGGAAGATACGATCAACAATCCAAAATTTGGACAAAAAGCCTTTCCTAAAATCAACTTCGACACAAATTCTAGCAAACTTTGCTCTCTCTGTAATATCACCTTCACCATAATCACGTTTTCAGATAGAGTTCCTATCAATCTTCAATGTGCGACCAAAAATACTACCTATATTCCACAAATGATGAGAGGTATAGAATTCAATAGGAAGTCCTGAAATACGAATCCAAACTGCCAGCTTTCTGATCTCATCATCATAAGGATTAAAAAATGGACGCCACCGTTGAACTACCATATAATGATCAGCTATGATCCAAGGACCATCCTCCAAAACATGAGAGTAATTATTCTTATTGGAAAATCGAAACAAAAAGTAGTCATTCTCCAGATCAATGAACTCATATTTGCCTGAGATATTCCACATTCTCAGTAAACGATTGAGTAAGAATCTAACTCCAACTTTCTTCCCCAGAAGTTTCACAATCATTGCCTGTCTCCAAGGTTTGCAACCTTCTAAATGCAAGGCTTTTGGAAAAGAGTACGTTGGGCAAAGAGGATCCTCCTCACCATCAACCATAACAAAGACCTCATCCCCTTCTTCTTCGTCCTCTTCCTTACGTAGTTTTTCTACCCAATCTTCCTCATCGCTATCAGCAACATGGGGTCCTCCATTAAAACTAAGAAGAGAATCTTTGTATGACACCAACTTCCTGTTATTAGATGAATCACCTGACTCCTCCTTCTTTTTTCCCCGTTGCTAGTCACATTCACCTGGATATCCTCCTCTGCCATGTGATCATCCATAAGTTGATCTTCCATAGCAGGGCCTTTAGGTTTTTTTGTGCTTCGATGGAGAAGATCTTCCTCCTCCGCCGTAGCATCTCTCGCCTCCTTACCGGTTTTTCTCTCTTCACTCATCTCTCCTCTGAGATAAATTATCTCCGGAATTAGCTTCTCTTAGAATGTGAGAAAGCGTTACCTCCCAATCCTGACCGATGAGTGCTTGTATCTTAGTTATTGATTTGCACTTTAGTTACTTATATATTCTGCTTATTGATCCTTTTTGGAATTTGGATTTATATGATATTTATCACATTATATATTTTTAAATTATTTTTTATTATATTTCTGTGTCTTACGAGTCGATACGATTCTTGTTATAAAAAATCAATCAAACAATACACGATACGTATTACGATTTAACAATCTTACTATAAAAGCATATTGTATGTGACCCACATCTGTTAAAAGAAATTACTACACAAAAATCGAAAAATCATTGATAGAAGAAAATAATTCTCCTATAGGAGAAAATGTTTTCCCAACAAAAAAAAACTAACGTTTTAAAAATAAGTAAATAAATTAATAAAAACAGCTGAATGCCACAGCCAAACACATGTGAGGGACGTGGGCCCCACACACACACTCTAAAACTTCCGTAACTGTTACTTGTCTCCCACATCATTGGGCCATCAAAGATCCATCATCACCTTGTTACTTGTTACTTGCCTCTCGGTCCTACTAGAACCTTCAAATCCCAATATCTCAATTAGGGTTTATCTAGGGTTTTGCTATTCATCCCAAATCCCCATCCTCCTTCCAAAGCTTGGTCTTTTCTCATTCGCAACGCGTAAATGGTTCGCTCCCAAGGTGTCAGTCTCTTCAACCGCCTTGCTCGTCGATCGCTCTGTGACACAAAAGATTCCGTACACATCTTTCTCGATTCTTCCTCTGTTTACAGACATATTTTTCTATGAACTACGATTATATCATTGTTTGGGAATTTTCATTTTGCAGGTATATCAAGCAGTGTTCCGAACGGGTTATAGGACATTGAACTCGAGGCCTTGCAATCCATCTAGAGTTCTTGGTAACTATGCACCAAATGTTATGTGTGAAATTAACGTTTTTTTTTTTTCCTTATGATTTTTAGACGACTGTTTGGGATGTTCTTTTGGATAAGTAAATAACTTGCTGAATTAGTTGACTATTGGTCTTTTTTTCTTTTTTTCTTTTTTGCTTGCAATGTTGAATCAGGTGTTTCTTTTTTTAAAGGGTACTTGTACTTCTCAATTATTGTTTCTGCTCACCTACTCCCGCTTACCCTAATCCTTACCCCATTTGCAGTTGGAAATGGGTTTAATTTGAAGAACTGGTTGCTATTGGGAGCGCTGAACACATATTGGGGGGCATCTAGATCAATTCATGGCTCTGGTATAAATTATTAAATTCTGTGTTGTATGCATGGCTCGCCTTTTTATTTTTCATGGATGGCTTTGTGTTTGAGGGTAGTCTTTTTGCTATTTATCACTTGAATATTGTCCGTGATTTTCCTTTGATTAGGATGACAGAAGGTTCATCCATCTTTCATTCAATTTCCTTCTTTCTTCCTTGTGCATACTGTTTATCGTTCCTTTCATGTTAATGACTTTTTTTTTTTTTTTTTACCCCAAACTCCTTCACAGCATCATTGGCAAGAGACTATTATGATGTTCTTGGTGTGAGTAAGAATGCAAGTTCTTCTGAAATAAAGAAAGCTTATTATGGGGTAGGTTTTTCCTAACCATTGTCAATGTATATGAATAAGTATTGAAATCTGCAATTTTTTAAGTTTCTGGCCCATTTCCTGGTTAAACTTTGCCAAGTCGTTAACAAATCTCATTCACCTGTTAAGTAAACTGGTCATTTTCCTTTCATGAGTGGATACCAGACCATTTCCCCCAAGCTATGGGTTGTGGGATGAGGAGCATTTGTTTTATTTCAAGTTGCTTTCACATTTTGTATAATAATACAAATTACAATCACTGAACTGCATTTTATAATATAGAGTTTTTTTTTATGTTTTAATTATCAGAATATACAATTTGGTAATGTATTCATGTATGCACATTGCACACACTTTATGATTCACAATTGTGAAAATATTTTAGTCCCCCTACCTTTTCCCTTCTTTCTACCTTGATATGAATTCATCAAGCTGGGCGCCTGGCATATGAAATATCTTTCTAAAATAATTTTGTATTCTCCTCTTTCTATTGTTTCTCAATTTGTCTCCATATTCTGCAGCTAGCAAAGCAGCTCCATCCAGACACGAACAAAGATGATCCTGAAGCTGAAAAAAAGTTTCAAGAAGTTTCAATGGCATATGAGGTGTACTGTTATTGTCATTGTTCGTGTTAATATCCAGTGCTAGAGGTCTATTTTAAATCTTCATATCCCAAATTAATTGATGATTAGTTTGTTGCCCCTTTTTCATGTGTTGTAGATATTGAAGGATGAAGAAAGGCGTCAACAGTATGATCAGGTCTGACACCTTCCCAGCTACTTCTTTGCCTCTTTTGTTGAAAAATTTGTTGCTTGTACTATTTCACTAAATTAGGATAAATTATAGGATAAATATATGTGAATTGTAATGCAGGAGAAGGCACAATAAGAAAAAGGAGTGAATAATAAGATTTAAATTGGGGTCCTCTGTTTCATGGAGAACTAGAAGTTTATATGGAGATACTTAAGAAAAATGGTGGAGGGAAGAGTTTGGGAATATGGTACATTTTTCTTTTGTATGGGAAGATAGGAAGAGTGTTCTCTTATGATGTTCCTATAAGTACAGATAATGTGATCAGTTGCAGTTTTCATAGTGTTGATATCATTTGAAAATCTAAAAATGGATAAAATTTCATTTTCTTAGTATTTCTAGTTAATATGAAGTGGTGTCATATAATTTTATTGGATGTGAATTTTTACTGCCTGGTTTATTTTTGCTTTCGTGTGCTTTCTTCCTCTTTCTCTATTGACATTTCCCCCCTTTCTTTTCAAAGGAGGGAAGAAAACTCTGATAATGGGACATTGGACCCTGCTAGAAATTTTTAGTTCTATAACAACATTTCACATTTTGTTTGATCAAGAAAATAGGTTATGTGTGCCTATGTTTATATACCACTCATGCTTCATGTGCTTATTTCTTGGTTTAATGTGTATTGTAATTTGTTTTGAGTGGATCGTTCCTTTATCCTAAGTATCTATTGCCTCTTTCATTTGATTTACTTTAAAATGAATATGTAGGTTGGTCATGATGCCTATGTAAACCAACAAAGCACTGGTTTCGGAGGAGAGGGTGGCTTTAATCCTTTTGAGCAGATATTCCGTGATCATGTAATGACTTATCATTTTCTTCCTTCTATTTTCTTAATCATGTCTATCAGGAAATACTTCTTTCTTTATTCAAAAGTTGGTCTGCATTGTAGTAGAAAATCCAAAAGGATATATTTTCATACTACATAGTAATAATAAATATTCATTTTGTTATCATTCTAATTGTTAAATTTGTAGTTTACAAACACTATGTCATTGGACAACCACCTCAATTACTAATTCAATTAAAAGGTCAAATTATCTAATGATTTCTTAAACATATGTAAAAATGTATATACCGAAATTTGTAGTCACATATTTCCATTTAATTAAGTTGCATGGTATGTTTGTTTATGCATCAGTTTAACATTTTTACATATGTTTAAGAAATCATTAGATAAGTTTAATATTTTTAATTGTAAACTGATGTATTTGACTCTGTTTACGTTATTTATTATTATATTTCCTGGAATCTTTGTCATTAACAAATTATGTAGTCTTTTATTAAATATAAATGTCTCTAAAATTTCCTATTAAATAATTCCACATTTGAAATCTAATATGGTTTTCTCAATTCCCTCAATGGTAATCAGGGTTTTGACAAGAACTTTTTCTATCAGAATATTGGTGGAGAGGATGTCAAGGTTTTTCTTTCATCATATTTGGATTTATTTAAGTATGCTAAGGAGTTGTTTGATGACCAAAGGCATCTCAATAATCTCTTTTTCACAGACTTTCATTGAACTATCTTTTATGGAAGCTGTCCAAGGGTGCACCAAAACTGTGACATTTCAAACGGATGTGCTCTGTAATGCTTGTGGTATGCTCTTTAATAAGCTATGAATTGTCATCTGTCACTACTATATTTACAGTTTGGTTTGTAATTTGTAAAGTCAGTGCACCTGTAAATAAAGTTATCAGTCACAGATCTTTTGCTTACTGAACTATTGCAGGTGGGAGTGGTGTTCCCCCTGGTACAAGACCTGAAACATGTAAGCGATGCAAAGGGTCGGGCATTGTAAGTATTGTCTTGAAACTAAATTTGAATCTTCTTTAATAATGTTACATGTTTGCGAAGTGTTGTTAAATTGATTTTTGAGACATGTACAGACGTTTGTACAAGCTGGCATATTCAGAATGGAGAGTACTTGTGGTACCTGTAAGGGAACTGGAAAAATTGTATCGGTATGGTACAAATTGTCCTCTCCTTTTTTTTTTTTTTTTTTTTGTAATATCAAATCTCTCTTTTTTAGTAAATTGTATGAGGGTTTAGAACTTCAGATATGACGGACTTGCTGTGATTCACATAAATTGCTTATTGCTGTTCTTATATTCTTCTTACATGGCAGTATTCCATGTCTGGAGACTGGAGTTATTCTCCCTCTCCTCCCTATATGGTTTTAACTTATAATAAATTCACATGTTTAATGACTCTGTTCATCATATGCAGCATATGGCTATGATGGTCTTTCATATTACTTACAAAATGGTGGGAATATATTAATTTTTTCTCTTTTTGTTGTTGTTACCAGAATTTCTGCAAGTCTTGCAGGGGTGCAAAGGTTATCAAAGGAACAAAGTCAGTCAAACTGGATATAATGCCTGGTAATCATTATTTCAAATGTTTTGGGATGCATCTTTACGTTGGCCATGTTCGAATGGCATACAAAGAGAATGAGCGAGTAATTTCCTTGTTGATTTGCTTTAAACTAGGCTAACTATTATTATTATTATACTAATAAGAACAATAGTACATAGAGAAAGAAGCTACATAAGGCCCTATTGTAGGGAAATGCTTAATTTTGAATAATTTTAGCATATCAATGTTGAATAGCTTGGATTAATGCGGACTTTATCTCTGCCTTTCTGTCATTTAACTTTTCAATCAAAAGAGAGTGACTGATTTATGCTTTTATACATTTGCAGGTATAGACAACAATGAGACTATAAAGGTTTATAGAAGTGGTGGAACAGATCCTGATGGAGACCCTGGTGATCTCTATGTTACTATCAAGGTATTTCAATAGCTTGGAAGTCAGTTCCTTTTTTTTTTTAATTTCGTAGTCTTAAGCTCAGTCGTTTTTATTTCTTTCATTTTTTCCTTTTTGTAGGTTAGGGAAGACCCTGTTTTTCGCAGAGAAGGATCTGATATTCACGTAGATGCTGTTTTAAGTATCACTCAGGTAATGTCTTTGATGAAGGAAAGCTTAAGCAATATGTTATGTGGTTATCTGGTTGAGTTTTTTCAGGTTTGATCCACTTATGTATGTTTAATTGGAGACATTACTTTATAATTCTTGGGAAGCAACTTGGTTGTTATTATAGATAAAAGAGGAGTAAACATCTATTCTGGTCCCTGAAAGACATCTATTCTGGTCCCTGAAAGGTTGGGTTCTCATCACTTTGGTCCCTGAAAGATAGGTGACATCAATTTGTTCCCTTGATCATGGAAAATGATATCAAAATCTTCCTTCTGTGAACAAACCGCAAGATTGAGGGAGTGAATTGATGTCATTTTTCTATTATTAAGAGACTAAATTGATGTCAATCTCCATCTTTTAGTATTAAATTGATGTCAACCCTATTTTTCGAGGATATAAATGACATTTACTCTAAAAAGAAATGTATTGACTGAAATTGTTAATACTCTAGAATCACATGCAATGCTCCAGAAAATCTAGCCCTATATGGAGTTGAGATGTATGTCGTCGAGGTATAATTTTTTTGTGGCAGGGGTCTTGATCGAGTTAAGAACCATGTTAGGAACTACCACACTGCAAGTTTTGATGGCATGATTTTAATTTGGCAGTGGTGTTGGTGGTGGCTGTTCTTGAAGTTGATTGTTGTAAATATTGAATCTCAAACATATTGTTAGTTGTTTGTGTCGTGTATAGTGATATTAGTTATAAATAAGCTAAATACTGGATTTTTTTTATTTTGTGTTTTTGGGTTTTTTCTCCAGGCGATTTTGGGGGGAACCATTCAGGTCCCAACTCTTACAGGGGATGTTGTTCTTAAGGTTAGTATTTCTATTGCAGTACATAATATTTCTTATGTTATTTTTAGTAACTGGTGAAGTTTGAATGACGGGTGCTTTTTACAGGTTCGCCCAGGCACCCAACCTGGTCAGAAGGTGGTTTTGAAAAAGAAAGGTAAGCAAGTTGATATGGGAAATTTGAGAATTTTTAATATTTTTTGGAAAGCATTGTGGGAAAATACATTTGGAAAGTACAAACATGTTGCTGCATGGATTTTTAAAAGTTGTAAGTGTAGCCTTATTTCTTTCACTATCCTTATCTTGTTTTGTTCTTCAACAGGGATCAAAACAAAAAAATCTTACACACTTGGGGATCAATACGTTCATTTTAATGTCACCATCCCAACGTGAGTGTCTCATTAGATATTTTTCAGTATCATTTATGAACTGTTCACCCCTCTTTCTAACACCATGTTTAGGTTTTATTATGGATGCTTGTAATATAAAATGATTTGAAATATTTTGCAGAAACCTGACACAGAGACAGCGTGAATTGATTGAAGAGTTTGCCAAGGAAGAGCAAGGGGAATTTGATAAAGGTAGAGCTGCTTCCGCTTCAGGTTGAAAACACTTGCAGAATCTCCACTATTTATCTAGTAGTAATTCATGCTCAACTTGGTGGGAACCCACTTACCGTTAAAGTTTTGTAGGAGCATTAAGGATTCATATTTTTTCTTCCCCTCTCCACTTAGTGTATGTAATATATTTTTTTGTCATAAGTGATATTTACAACTCAAATTTTAAAGGTTAGAAGGAAATTCCCTTATGCTTGGGCATCCGTAGAGTTCTAGTCAATGCTGTGTACATGTTTTCCCTTTTACAGGTGTGCAAGTCACAAACTGCCATTCTTTTTGTACTATCTTATACAGAGGAAACTTGTATTATAATATTAATGGGTTTATCATCTATCATTTAATATGACCACAAAAATTTTGCTACACACACAACATTTTGTGGGGCCCGCAGCAAAAAAAAAAAAAAAACTTCGGCACGCAAAACGAATCTCTATAACATAACACAATCACTTTTCCTACAACATAACTCTTATAAAACCCAATATTAATACTAGAACTAGATGGTTTATGTATCAATACTGAAGGATCACCCCAAACTGAACAATATACATGTTTCTAATACCAGTAATCTTGTTCTACTTTAGTTATGACAGATGAAAATTTATTTTACTTTGATACGCACTTGAAAGTGGGAATGAAGAAGTCACGATCTTTCCATGTAAAATTCATTCATGAGATTTTTAAGAGGGTATTAAAGCAATTTGTTCCTAGTAAAACACTGATTCTGATTTTGAAAATAATGATATTTGCATGAATATTTATGTTCAGACTCCGCAAATTCTAAGATGGATTTAATTGAATATTTTTGTAGTTAGGGTGAGATAGTTATTTAATGGGAAAAGAGTGTTATTTTAAATAACACAAGTTGTGTTATTTTGTAGATATAAAGGGGTGGGATAAACATTTTTATTTTATTTTTGTCTTTATTTTTTTTCTAGTGGAATTCATATCTCTGTGTCTATGAAATGATATATATTTTCCCTTATTTACTAGTTGGGGAGATTGTGAAGATTGCTGCGAACACAAATATATAAAGTCTCGTGGATTTGAATTTTCTCATGAAAAAAAATCATAACATAATTATGTGGGGAATTATAATTATACAAAAGTGGATTAATAATAATAAAAGAAACTCACGAAACAGAGAAAATAGTCTTGAGAAATTGGTCTCGGAAAAATATCTGCAACTTGATCTTGAGTTCTCCTTCGCGGTTTACATATTTTAGTTGTTAATAGTCTTGTTCTTTGGCTTCGTGAACTATTAGTCTAGTATTACACATTCTTTATATAAAAAAATAAACTTTATTAGATTATGGTGTAAGTTAAAAATAAACTTTATTAATATGCAAATCATGATTGTTTTGAAATCATGATTAACTTTGGCAGTTTCATTATGCCATTTAATTTAATTCCAACTGATGAATAGCCTTCTTTGCTTTGTGTTCCCCCCTGCTCCCCTATGTGCTAATTTGTTTGCTGATTCAATTCTTTCCCTATACATATCTCTGTTTGTTTCCTTTTTGATTATTGGTTTACATAGTTGGCTAAGAAAAAGATAACAGAACATATCTGTGTAAGCCTACTCATTAATCTTAAAAGCAATTTAAAATTATGGACCATGAGGGTGAGGAGTACATCCAAGTAAGCTCATGTCGCCTGCATTTCTTTCCCTACTGTAAAGACATATATATCTTGTTGATTGTTTTATGTCTGTATTCAGATTCCTTTCTTTTATGAACTTGAACTGTCATAATTCTAAATAGCAGCTAAAATGTAAGCTCATGAGCTGTTAACATCCAATTTAAATATTTCATTGTAATTATTTGATCTACTGATTCACGTCTAAAGCGTATGTGTTTGGAATCTATAATAAAAGGATTGTTTTCATTTTTAAATTGGGAACTCATTGTTCACTTGTCCCAAGTAGACCGAGTAATATAACTTGGCATTCTCTTCACTTCTTCATTAAAAGAGACCATAACCAACTAAATTGGGTCTTAGGTTTCAATGTAAACCAACTAAATTATTATTATTGTTGTTTTTGTTACATATTTATGTTGGAATGTTCTATTGTTTTTGCTTAATATTTATGTTATGAAATTTGAATATTTGATTAGTATATGAGTTATTATGAGTTGCTATATGTATTAAATATAAACTATATTATATATATTAAAAATATTATTTAATATTAAAACGTGTCCCAACATGTCGAAATTTAGCATTTTTTAGAATTAACGTGTGGAGTGTCGTGTCGTATCCTGTGTCCTGTGTCCGTGTCCGTGCATCATAGCCTACCACATGTAATTTGACCCCGTGCATTTTACATCATCCACCTAGCAACTTTCCAAAAAATAAGCAAATCTTCGACATTTCTCCACGTCAGGCCTAGCTCCATCCTTCTTCTCATTTATACTTTTAATATCATTGAAGTCACCAGCCAAGACCGAAGGACCATTCAAATTAGCACTAACTTGCACTAAATCATCCCACAAAACACGTCTTTCCCCCTCTCGAGGACTAGCATAAATAGCTGAACATATAAATGGTCTATGATTCTCAAATTCAACCTTCATATGAATGAACTGGTTAGACTGAGATATAACTTGCACCTTCACCTTATTAGATGCCCATAAACGCCTACAAAACCATTAGCTTCTTCAAAGACTGCTTTGTCAAAATTTATCTTACGCAAAATCTTCCTGCTTATGTCACTATTCGTTCTCGTTTCTAATAAAACCACCATATGAATACCATGTTTTTCTATCATCATTTTTAAGGTACGACTCAGACTTTGCTTGGCCGCCCCCTACAATTCCAGAAAAGCATAGACATAAACAACGATTAAGCTTTGTTATAGGTTTTCTATGTACCTGCAACAGATGATCCTTAGGCTTCATAACCTTCAAATGTTGCTCCCTACCTAGCCTTCTTTTCCTTAGGCTTGAGCGAACATTGAGGTCCGGAGGAATAGACTCTTGTATCTCCATAATATCAGCTTCATTACTCTCCTTATAATCTCCAGGTCTTTCTCTGACATCAACAAAGCTTTGTTATCTTCATTACCATCCCCTACCATAAAAGCACAATTTGGATTGATTCTTTCCTCTCCAGCTTCCTTTACTTGGCTTACTTCCTTATTTCTTCCTACGCTTGACGCAATATTGGCAACGGTCCTCTGTTTCTGATGATCATGCATCCCCTTACCCTCCAATATGAACGCATTCTCTGTTTTTACAAGTCTCACACTCCCTTCCTTTTCCTTTCCTTTTAAATATCTTGGACTCCTCTGCTCTGGATGCTGCACAAAACCAACCTGAGTAGTATCCCCATGTCGTACATTTGTATTGCTACCAGAGCCTTTTTCCTCATTTTTATCCAGAACAACCCTTTCAATTTCAGAGGAATTATTCTGAGATAATTTGGCTTCAATTGTTGACTTTGCGTCTTCCCTACCAGATTGTAACTTTCCTCTCCTCCCCCTTGTAACTACCATCCATGGACAATAACCTGACACACCCTCCACTCTAGTTAAATGTTTGTCCTGCGCAACATCTTCTAAATTCTCATCAACATTCCCTACAACTTCAGACTCATGAGCAACCCTTTGGATAGGCTTTGGGAAATTTTATGCTCTATGACCATATTTACCGCAATCAAAGCAGATGAGGTGCAGCCCCTCATACTCCACTTGTTTATATCTACCCTCTATGAAATACTCAACCTTGAGAGGTTGTCCAAGATCCAGTTCAACACAAATTCTTGCGAATCTACCTCTAGCCAACGTTGTTGTGGCAGCATCCAATCTCACAAACTTGCCTAGCCAATTCCCCACACTCTTCATCAGAGGTGTGTTGACATATTCCAAAGGAAAACTAGGCAATCTCACCCATGCAGTTACCTTGCTTATAGAAGCTTGGAATGGTTCAAAATATGGCTCTCAAGCCCTAATAGCCAAATAATGATAACAAATGATCCAAGGACCTGCTGCTAAGGCAAACTCCATCTCTGTAACATGAATCTTTCAATCTCTGACCAACATGTTCTCCAAACGCTTCTTCATGAAACTAATCGACATTTTTTTCCCCAAGAGCTTAACAATAAAGGACAACTTCCAAGGTTTCCATTCTTTCCTTTTAAATTCATCAGAAAGATTAAAATTGATTTTTCCATCCTCCTGAGTTTCTAGAGTTACTACCTCTTTGTCAGCCAATGATCATCGAAACCTTCCGTTACCATCTTATCCTCCTTCTCTTGATCATTCTCCTCTTCTGAAATCCATTCTCCATTATGACGCATAAGTATTTCCTTGAAACTAGTCTACCCATCCATCCATTCTTCATCCCTTAATGTAGAAAATTCTTAAACTCCAAGCTTGCTTCAGAATACATAGAAAATAGTCTTGAGAAACTGGTCTTGGGAAAATATCTGCAACTTGATCTTGAGTTCTTCGCAGTTTACATATTTTAGTTTTTTAGTTGTTAATAGTCTTGTTCTTTGGCTTCCTGAACTATTAGTCTAGTATTACGCATTCTTTATATAAAAAAAAAAAACTTTATTAGATTATGATGTAAGTTAGAAATCATGTTTTTGATATTGATTATTGTTTTTTTTTTTAGTAAAGATTCTTTTGGGTCCCTAAAAAAAATACGATTCTCATTTTAGTCTAATATACAAAAAAAAAATAGTTTCGAGGTCCCTATAAAATTCAAAGTGGACTCATTTTAGTCCTTTTGAAGGATAATGTGAGTCTTTTTTAAATTTGTGAGGAATTACGATTTCAACTAAATAGGTCCACTTTAAATTTCTTAAAGACCTCGGGACTAATTTTTTTTGTAAGAAACTAAAGTGGAGACAATATTTTTTGTTAGGGACCCAAAACAGATTTTACTCTTGTTTTTTACAATGTACTAATTATTACATGATTATGATAATTATAAAAATTTGAGAAGATCTAATAAATATATTAAGAGTCAAACTGTAAAAACTTTCTATTTTGAATTGATTTTCCATTTTGCGGGGACTTTCATAAATATTTAGAAAGGAAAATAAATCAAGTTTTCTGCTGTTGTAAAATAAATATTTAAATGCAAAAGTAAGAACTTAAATAAAAAAATACTGTTAGTTTATGGCCAAAAAAAGTTAGTATAAATAGGAGGAGTAACAAGGACAAAATAATATAGCTACATAAGGAAGCCACAAGGAGAACAAGAGAAAGAGAAAAAAGGCACTATTATGTGACTCTCAAATTAATGTGTGGTTAAATTTTCTATACCAGGCCTTACCGAAAAAAAAAAAATCTGTACCAAGAAAAAGATGAAACCCTAATTAGTTTAGCAAGAACTATTATTAAATTATTATTACCAAGTTTTTGAAGCTTTAGTGATAGTAGTTTCATTTCCCTTTCATTTAATATGAATAAATTGTCACATAATGTTTTTATCATATTTTTGATTTGTTTGGACTCGAAAGTAATCAAAATAGGATTGTAGTTTCTAAGTAGGGACATATTTGGATAAATTTAGTGATTTGGATACTTGCTGTTAATTAGAAAAATAAAGTCACACAATTGATTTTTTTACTTAATAAATATATATTTTTTGTCAGTACATGCTTTGTCACTAACAAGATAAATTATTTGGGACATATCGGTGAATTGTAACCCTTAATTAAATTGCATTTAGTTAATTACATATGTTATCCGATTTAGTTTTTAATTCATTCTTTTCATTTTAATTAACTTTTCTACCTAGATTACGAAAAAATTTCAATTACTTATTTGAGGGGTCGAACTCGTAACTTATTTCACTGTTTTTTTTTTTTTGATAAATTACAGGTATCTTTCACATGAGGCAATTCTTTTCAGGACGGGTTTAGAATTAAGATTTTAAATCTCTCCTAAAGATAGTAATGAGAAGAATCGAACACATATTCTCGTTCTCAAATGATCAGCTCGCGCCAATTGAATTACACTTATTTGATTGTCCTCATGTCTTAATGTATAATTATTTCATTTGCAAGTATTTTTAAACTTCTATGGAGTTGCAGCACTTTTTGGATGGTTTTTTCTTTATCTTGTTTAAATTCTCATTCTTCCAATCTTCTTCGGGAACTTCTTCAAATTTGCGTGATTAACAAAAAAGAAATTTTGATTAATATCTTGAATTGACCTTATTTATTCCTTTTGATTTTGGAAAATATAAAATCCCTGCTAACTGCCGATCTTGTTTATTCTTATATATAAAAGATAGATCTTATTTGGAACCCAGTGTTGAACTTGAGGGTGACATTACCATAGTAAAAACTTTGTAGGAAAGGCTATTGGAAATTTTGGAATTATATCACAAAACGGTTCTCTTTTTCTTTTGCCTATGTTTAATTTGTACAACCTTTTGCATTAAATCTTCATATCTTCTCCAAAAATAATAATATTTCCACGTTGATTATCATGCCTAGTATGGATATAACAAAATCTCCTTTTCCTTCAACAATAATAAATTATTGTTTTTTAGCTACTGCAATATAGCACGAAAAGTGTGGTGGGTTGGAATATATAGAATAATTTTTCAGTAGTGTCTTCTACATTTTTTTATTTAAATAGAATTGGCTTTACTAGCATGTGGTGCAAGGTCTAAACTAACATTGATTGTTGCCATTATTGTCTTTCATGCAAACTGAGAATCAATGAGTGATCTTGCAAATACCACATCATAAAAGCCTGAATACAACATTATGTTAATTATATTTAGATATTAAAGGAAACAGAGAGTACAACATAGATTGAAACTTAATCTGACTTATTCAATACATAAATCCCATGTAACCTTATTGTGAGAAGCACTACATGAACTACTACTAAAACATCAAAAACACTTGATTATAACAAACATTCCAGCTCTAAGATCCTTCTTCACTTCATGATATCACCTGCACAAAGGGGAAAAAAAAAGGATTAATCATTCTTTCACTAGCAAAACATAACAAGACCAGATAAAAACAAAGAGACAGAGAGTGAGAGAGAGAGACATGGTTCAAATTGTGTGGTACACTTCTCTGGGAGCTGCAAGGCCATGTTACGGTCTACCCCAGAAATTGGAGGGCCATTGACAAGAACACATAAACATGGTTGACCAAGAGCCTTAAGAGCATTGCAACAAGCCTCACTAGGTGGAAGTGGGCTAAAAGGTGCAACTGCTGTCCTACAAGGTATAAGCTGCACTAATGCAGAGAAGAAAGTGCTCGCACAAGGGGTGGTTTGGCCTTGTGCTACCAAACCTGTGGTGCACAAGAAAACCAACAATAAACCAAAAAGCTTCATCCTCAATTTTCTGTGTTCCTGTCCCTCAGTGAATGCTTCCTTGCTACTATTTGGAATCACTTAGCAATGTTTTACATTTATACAAGATGCACACTTGATGTCACGCATCATACCTGTCCTAACTGAGGGTCATGCTAACAACACAGTAATGTTAGTAAGAGAAATCACCACCAATGTGATTGGTGTTGTATAACTATAGCTAGAAGACTCAAATGGCATGATTTATCCCATTTGTAAATGCCCTTTTTACTTAACATTAAGAATAAATACCCTTTTGGCTCCCTAACAAAAAACACGGTCTCCACTTTAGTCCCTTACAAAAATAAATTAATCAGTTAGTCCCTAACAAATTCAAAGTGGACCCATTTTAGTTCTTTTTGAGGGACTAATATGGGTCTTTTTTGAATTTGTGAGGGATCACGATTTTAACTAAATGGGTCCACTTTGAATTTGTTAGGGACTAACTGACTAATTTATTTTTGTAAAGGACTAAAGTGGAGACCGTGTTTTTTGTTAGGGACCCAAAAGAGTATTTACTCTAACATTAAAGAGCTACATAGTAAGTTACATGTATATTAATACCGGTGTAATAATAATGTATCTATTTGTAACACTACGCTAACGCAATGAAAAAAAAAACAAGGAATTGTATATACGTGATAGAGTTAAAATGTTGGAACATGTTGAAATGTCATATGCATTGAAGTAAATTAGCGTTCAATCGGAAGCTCAAATTGTTCATTCTTCTGTAAACCACAATTTTCATTTTCTTTCCTCAATGGTTTTATCCCAGTAGCATGAAAAGTTGATCCAATTAAAGAAGAATGCATAAAAAAATTTATTACAATTGTCAACCATGAAAGTTCTCATTTCTTTCCCTTGACATTGATTATTGCTTTCTTCAACATACTCTTGCACAAATAACCAGATATTTTCTTGCCAGTGGCAATTATGTAAAATAAAATGCCCCAAGGACTTCTGAAGCATCAGATCCTACTGTAATGGGAATTCCAATGTAAGCGATAAAAAAAAGTCTCCACTAGAAAGAAATAAGTTAAGCATGGTACAAAAAAGTAGAAGGATCTACAAATCCAAGAATTTATTGTTTTAGGTTAAAATATGATGTCAAACTTCTTGTTATTGGTTTGTTGCTTAGCCTCATTTAATGTGTGAATAATATTTAACTTACCCTAGTAAAAAAAAACTGCCATCTTCATGTCCTCACTCACAGTTGAAGAGACTCTCCACAAGCTACTTTTTGCTCTTGTGCAACACTGATTGCATCAAGTGTCCTGTTTGTGATGTCACGACCTCCTTGTTGTGTTCTTGAAAAAGAATGAAGGGGTGTATTGGATTAGAATTTTAAAAGACTTTTTTTTTAGCTAAACTTTTTTATAGATTTTAAAAGACTATTTAGAATTGGAGAGATTTTAAAGACTTTTTTAAAAGATTTTTTTTACAATCAAGATTTCATAAGATTGGATTTCAAAGGATTTTAATAGAATTTATAAGATTTGAAAGGACAATATGTCTCTGATACTAACAACTAATATTTCAAACACTTGTGGTTGGTGGTTTATCAACTGATTTATCAACCTTGGTCACTTGCTTTTTTTTGCTGCAATATGTCTCTGGATACATTTGTGTAAGCTGGTTTGTGATACAATGATGTCATGATTTACAATGGTGGTTTGAAAGGTTTGTGGTTGGTGGTTTGTGGTTTGTGATACATCTCTGCATACATTTTGCTGCAATAGGGCCATTGGATTGCTGCAATATGCCTTGCAATTTCTGTGGTCATGTCTATTTTTTTAGTGTCAAGGACCAATTAGGGCCTCGACAAAAATTGTCAGGGACCAAAAAGGGTTTCGTGAAATTTGATAGAGACCAAAAAGACTCCAAACAATACCATTTTGAAACAAATATGACTGGCATCCAACTTCTGATATGTAGATTGATTTACTTAATATAAAAAGGTTTGGTATGTGGTTTGTGGACCATTATTCCAGCAGATACATTCATTCTAGCCTGATTATGCAGGCAAATAACAAAATCTTTATAATCCATCATGGCAGTGGATTCATAACAAGAATAAAACATATGATGCAAACAGATGGCAAGGAATAATCCATGACCTTGTTCCATTGCCATTGACATATAGTGTAAGCTTGACTAAAGAAATCAGTCTACACAAAAACACATTTTCCAACCAATACAGAATCAGCCATATAATAAACACATCTTCATTCATTTGCTCATTAAAGTACAGAGAACTCATTACATTTCATTGAAGAGAAAATACATTTGGTGCACTATATTTGATTGTTACCACACTTGCAACAAAAATACAAATCATCATCACACCTACACAAGCACCAACTATGACCCTAGCTGATCTACCAACATGCCTAATTTCATTGTCCATCATATCTAACTCTGAAACCATCTTTAGGTAGAGCTCATTCAACTTTCTTTCCTTGTCATTAATCTTCACTTCTTGCTCAATAATCTTCACACCTTAGTCTTTCAGCTTAACTTGCAATTGCTCACTCATCATCATGTCCACATACTTCAACTTGAAATCCATTTCAGCAACATCCAACTCCACATTGTGTATTCTTCCATCTTCAAGCTCCAGCCTTTCATTACATACATCATCTACCCATCTAAAAAAATCACAAAACGGCTTCTTATCCTGCCAAAACTGCAAACCACGGTAAACAAATATTACAATTTAATTAACTTCAAATTACAAATGTATACCTTGAAATTAGGGCACCCAAAGAATTCCCTATTTGGGTTTCTCTCTGTTTTGGAGGTATAGACGATAGTTTGCCTCCCACATTTGCACCTTCGACCGCCAGTCCGTGAGGTTGTTCTACACCCTATTGAAGTACTCCCACTTGAGCTCCTCATGCCAGATGAAAGACTCATCTTCTCCTACGCCCCAGCAAATCCAGTAAATAACTTCTACTCTCCTCAATTTTCAGTCATCAACGTGGAGAGCTTTTGGGGAATTTTTTTGTTCATGGTTGATTTAGGCTGATTTAGGGTTCTGAAATTGACAGGGACCATATTGGGTCACTTACCCTTTCCATGCTAGGGTCACCTGTCCAAAACTCCAACAAGACATAAGGCATGTTCAAAACGTCGTCGTATTACTTCCACGATGGACTACTTAATAGTGACTCAGCAAACTAACGTTCCACGTGTGCTCCGTTAGTTGGGCCATTGGATGCCAACTAACAGAAGGACAAACGTAGCACTATTTTTCTAAAAATAGGGACCAAAATGAGCCTTTTTTATTGTTAGGGACCAAAATGGGCTTCGTGAAAATTGTCAAGGACGAAAAAAGGTATTTACTCATAATTATATTCATTCCTCTTCAAATCTGATTTTTAATCTTAGAGCCACTTCCCAAAAAAAAATTTATTTTTCATCCTTTTAGCCAGACCAAGTTATAACCTTAACGAAGACCTTTTGATCTGCTTTATATGTGGAGAGTGAGAATATGAGCAATAGGGGTGTCAATATAGGTTTTGACACGCGGGTCGACCCGCGACACGACACGAAAATCCGTGTTTGGGTTAACCCGCAAAAAAATTCGTGTCGTGTTCGTGTTGGGAAAAATGACACGTAAAAAATTCGTGTCGTGTTCGTGTTGATGTATTCGTGTTCATGTCGAACCGTATTTTTTAAAATTATTTTATTTTTTATTTTTTTAATATAGATCCATTTTTTTAAATTTTTTTGTCAATTACTATTTTGATCCCTATTTTGCGTGTTATTCGTGTCGTGTCGTGTTAACCCGCAAGAAATTCGTGTCGTGTTAGTGTTGATGTATTCGTGTCGTGTCGACCCGTTTTGACACCCCTAATGAGCAAGCCTATGGTTAAGGGTGTTAACGGGCCGGGCCGAGCCGAGCTTTGGTCTTAAAAGGCTAAGTCTGTGTTTAAATGTGTCAGCCTGATCAAGTCTGTTACCTGTTATGAATATAATTATCTGCCTGTGGCATAACTTATTTACAAAAAATAAAAGTCTGGTTAAGCCTATTAGCCTGTTTAAAAAAAATAAGACAACAAAAATTTATCCAAACAGAATATACAATAGTAATTCCATAAATATTCATAAATTCAACGTATATCCAAACAACATAATATAGAACAAAATCATTCAAAAAGTCTGTTTAACCAATGAAATGGGGTGAAATGAATTCAAGAGAGAGAGAGGGCTATTACAAGTAGTATAAAAAATATAAAAAAAATTAATATACTAGGCCAGCCTGAGAGACTCTAAGGTCGAGCTTTTGAATTAGAGCCTGAGACGTTTTTATTAAACGAGCTTTTATACAAGTCTCAGCCTGGTTCCAATAACCAATTTTAGACATGTAAGCTCAGGCCTTCACAAGCCGAGCCAAAGGTCCTTGAAAGGCCCCTGGCTCATTTACCACCCTTACCTATGGTAGTATTAATTTCGTAAAGAATGAGTGAAACACAATCCCTCAAAAAGTTGAGTTCAAGTGAATTGAAAATCCTAGTGAGTGGTGTTTTAGCTTAATGTTCCTATTCTTTGTCTGATGAAGTTTTGTTACAATTATATGATTGATGGATTGTGAATCTTGCTTGAATTGATGTATCATTTAATTTCAAGACCAAGTTTGAATACTCTTTGATCTTACTGCTGATTCATTTTTCCTATTGAAAGTTCATTCAATTGAAGATTCCTACTCCCTATTCCCTTAGTTTTATTCTCTTTGATTGCTGAGGACAACAATATTCAAACCTGGAAATATTTTATAAACCTCTAGTTTATCATGTTTATAGGGCTAATATTGCATGAATTATATAGTCAAGAGCATGAATACTTAGGTTTTATATTAAAAATCATGGAAATTAGATTTCTATCTAACATATCTTGTTCTTATTGGTTTTGAAGGCAAATTAATACAAATTTGAACAAATGGATTTAAAGATTGAAGTTGGAATTGGAAGATCAATGTTCATCCAAGAAGAAGTTTTTGGAAGAGAACATTCAAATGTCAATGACCAACATTCAAATGCTCAAACGTGAAGAAAAACCTCTGTTGGAGCACGTTTTAATGTCACTGTCAACATTCAAATGCACTCTCATTAGCAATTTTCCCCGCGCTAAGAACATTCAAATGCTCTAGACAACATTTAAACGCCCTCCAGCATTTAAACGCTATAGTCAACATTTGAACGCGCTAGCATGAAAGAAACCACATCCAAGGAGCGCGTTTAAATGTTAATTCCAACATTAAAACACCATCTAACAGGGGGGAAACACATTGATCAACATTTGAACGCCCTTATCAACAATTGAATGTCCAGTTGCGATGCAATTCATATTCAAATTATAAAATCATCCAATTGAAGATATGATTTGAGATTTCAGTGATGATTCCATAAGATCCTATGGGAAATTAAAAGATATAATTTCTTCACTATAAATAAAGGGTTCATTCAGAATCAAAGGAGAGCGTTTTGAAGAGTTAAGAGTAGGGATGTGCAAAATAACCAAAAAACTGAACCGAATCATGAACCGAACCGAACTGCCCTTAAAATAACCGATTTTTAAAAATCGGTACATGAATCGAATCGGTTTTTAAAGAACCGGTTCATGAACCGAACCGGTTTTTAAACCAGTTTAAGAATTGAACCGTTTTTTGAACCGAACCGAACCGTTTCCGAACCAAACCGTTTTCAAACCAAACCAAATTGATTTTTATAACTTTATTTTTTAAATTTTAAATTTTTTTTCTTTTCAAAATAGGGTCGACTCTAACCGGTTTCGAACCGAACTAATTTTGAACCGAACCAAACCATTTTCGAACCGAACCATTTAAACCAATTCGGTTTGGTTTTTCAAAAAATTCAGTTCGGTTGACCCATGCACATCCCTAGTTAAGAGAAGGAGTGGAGCATTGGAGCACTGAAGATTCAAGACAACATCACATCAATGGAGTCTTGGGAAATTATCTTCTTTCCAATTGTTTTTTATTTCAATATGCTAGGCTAAGTTTTTATGTAGTTAGGGGAAGATGAAACTCAATTGAATCTTTTTGTTATGAATTAAATTGTCTCCAAATTCTTCTCTTTTTATAATTGAATGAATTTATCTGTTTTTAATGTTTTCTATGAGTTTGCTCCTTATAGATTGATTTAAGAGAATTGTATGACAATAGGAATGTTGGTGCATGAACTCTGATTTGATAAATTCATTACAACCCTTGTGATCTAGGGATAGACATAGGGCAATTATGCAATCTTTAAATTCTTGATTTTAATGCATGTTTTCTTGACGAACAACCGGGGAACTAGGATTCTTTCAAGATCACATAGAATTAGGGTAACAAGGAATTGAGCCTTAATTAACTTATAAAGAATTGATTGATATTATATTAAGGGCAGATTCTTGACAGTTTAATTCATAACATAAAGAGGAGATTTGGGGAAGTTGTGACCCTAACTACGCTCGTTCTTGATAATTAAACAACTCATCTTTTTAATTATTTTAATTCTGAAATTACATGTTATTGATTGTTTTAAATTTCAATTCTCTTCATCTCAATATGGTTGTCCAACTAATCTACAATTAGTGAACTAGTGCTTGAAAATCAATCTTCGTGGAAACGATCTCGTACTCCGGTACACTTTATTACTTAACGACCAGTGCACTTGCTAAGTCGCAATAGTTGTGTCTATGACATGAAAGATATTAACTCGTGTGACATGAGAAAAGAGAAACCCCAAAATATTAATGTTATATAAAATGTTTTTCTTCCCATCTACAACATGGCTCGAATAAAATAGAGTACTAGATTATATACCTGCTTAAACAAAGTGAAACTAAACTTGATGAATATTCATTATTTATTATACTTAGTGTTTCCTTTTAGAAATTTTCTGATTTCCCAATGAGCCAAAGCCAATCAAGTGCAACCCCAGCACATATGCCACTTGAAAGCCACAGTGCAAGCAAATTACCCAAAGCATTTTGTTCAGGACCCTGCAAAACCATAAACCCCACAACTTTTATGAGCAATATGAATCTTAATATTGAAAAAATATTATTAAACCACTACCCATTAAATCTCGATTAGCAAATATAATGGTGACAGGTAATTTTTGTACGTAATCTTACACTTTATATATTTAAAAAGAAATTGTTTTCCGAATTCAAACACGTAAACTTAACAACAACAAAAATACTAAACTGACCTTATAACCTTTAGGTACCACTGTGTATACACAAACAGTGAGATAGCCATTGGTTAGTCCCAAGAAAGACACAAGAAAGATCATCCAACCTTGCTCACCATATTTTGCTGTGAAGTAAAATGCAGGGACCAGCAATAAACGAGAAAGAGCTGCAATGAGTAAACCCTTTCTAGATTCCAACTTCAGGCATTTGATGAGGGGAATATATGATGATGTTAGATCCATAACGTTGTACATTGTAATCAAAACAAGTTGGTACCTTAACATATTCACCACATGTTTCATGTCAAAAAAAAAAAAAAAAAATGCACTTCTATGCATCAAAAGATTGAGAATTGATAATAAGGCTTACCATGTTCCTAGCTTGTGGGATCCTGTATCTTCATACAAGAATCCAGGAATAATAGAGAGGGTTATTACAGCCGTTAGAAACAAGTCAACTGCATAATCAATGTTCTGAAGAAATAGCTGCTTATTGCTTAACCGTTCTTGTTGATTAGCATCAAATCCAACCTACCCAAAAAGTCCAAAAATTTTCAGTGTATTTAAAAACATGTTCTTGAGCTTAACATATAATCAGTTTAACATAAGTTACATTACTTGTTGGTTTGTCCCATTTGGAATGCCAGCAGCTGCAAGATCAGCTGAAACAGTTTTTGATCCTTCTGAAGCTGCCTTTGAACGGTAGTATTTTACAATGGACAACTTAGGGAAGTAGATTGCATACAGAACAATGCATAGAAACTCAAAGAATGTAGAGATTGCAAAGGATAGCACTGCAAAGTGAGGAACTAATGAAGCTTGCATCAAAGAATCTTAGCTTCAAAAATTAATTAGTGGTGAGTGGTATACTAGTATGGGACAGCATATTCCAAAAAAGTATGTGCATTAGTCAAAAAAGAAAAATGAGAGTATGTGAGTAAAACTGACATATATGTGATATGTGCACGACAACACATAAGAAGTATATGAGTAACTCTAATATATATGTGCATTAGTGAATAATGACTAACTTACAAGCCCCATTTCGAAGACCATTATCAGATTTCTCAAAACTGGCTTTGGTGACAAGTCTCAAAGCACAGGCTAGAGCTCCTGAGGCATATATTCCAGCAACAAAGGACTGCAGAAGATTAAATTAGTATGATTAGGTCACAACTCACATGATAAAGAAAACAAAAATTAATGTTTAAAAAGAAAAGGAAAAGGGAAAATAGGAGAAATTTAAGATAGTAGATGCATGACAAGCAGACACATGAAACAAAGCATTATTGTTTCACTTTCTCTATGAAAGAATTTTTCAAAATACAAAAAGTTTAAAACAACAGAGAAATTAATTATGAGGAAGACCAACCTGAACGAACTCAGGACACATAAAAGAGAGGTCTCCAACCATGCCACCTTGTACAGAAGCATGTGCAATTCCAAAACAAGCACAAAGTGCACATAAACCAATGTAAGGCCCTATTCCCCCTCTCCCTGATGTTGCTAGATCCAACTGCCACACCAAATATTCTGAAGCTATTATACTATAAGCAAAGCAGAATAAATGACATACCAATAGCATAAATTAGATGTTACGAAGCTGAACTGGTAAGGGGTGAAGTGGAGCTTGGATAATCATAGATTTTACCCCTTATAAAACAAAAAAAAATGTTACAAAATAGTAAAGCTGTACTTACAACAAGAACTAACAAAGAGCCAACGAAGAAAAGTGTGTATCCACTTAAGTTCCGCATCCTTGTATTGATCCTTGACTCATAGTGAGTCAGTATCAGCATGATTGAAAGTGCAAATGGTTGATAAATGATAGTGAATACACGCAAAGGATGGTATCTCTTCTGAGTAGGAAAAACTTCTGTTAGACCAGTGTCTCATAATTATGTGACAGGAAATTTCATGTGAACAGCACAGACCAAAAAAAAAAAAATATTTGAAAGGGAAATCAGTGGCTGATGAATGTAACATATCTATTGCAGTTTGGAACTTGGAACTATAAAAATAAAAAAATCACTTTCCGTTAAACCCAACTAGCGAGTGTGGGATGAACTTGGACCTACAAGAGTGTTATTTTTATTTTCCAATTTCATGTAGTCATTGAAGACTGCTACTGGAAACTGCTGAAATCATGGGATCTTACTGGAAACAATTTGTAGTAGTAATCTCCCATTGTCCACAAGCTGTTCAATGCAATAAGGGACCCGAGTCCAAGAATGAAACATATTAACATTGCTTCAAATTTGCCCTGCATGTAGTAGTAAATTGTATGGAGTTATCGTAGGCAGAACCAAAGTCAATGATTGAAAGAAAAAATTAATAACATACCTCCATCCTTCTTAGTACCTCACTTTCATCAGAAATAGCCATGACTAATGCACTGTCACAATAAGAAACAATGCATCATAGTTAATTTTCAGTGACAAAGGCTTTAGTTTGAACCAAACTCTTAAATAAAGTTTGAACCTTCTAGCATAAAGAATAGAAACTCCGCTTACTCTTGAAGCTGGGTTATATAGTGGCAGTAGAAAAGTAGTCAGTGTGATTTGATTTGGTTTTAAAATAAATTATGGTTTTAAAGGTTCAATACAAGAATTAATTTTATTTTGAAATTTTATTATATTTGAGTGTAGTGCTTTTTATTTATTTATTTTTTCTAAATAAGTCCACATTTACATCAAGTCAAACAGAATTAGAAAGAAAGAATCTTTCACCTAAGCATCAATTAAATAGAAAGTGAATTATGAAATCTTGTATTCAACGCACACATACAAACACGTACAAACGCAAGTTTGTTAAAAGATGAAGAAAATGCGAGCCAACTTGACAAAACAGCCAAATAGCTACGACCTTAGAAGCAAAGCTATTCAACATTAGTAATATGCCATTTACAATTGACCATAAAACTTAGGCTAGTAATGGACAATGGCCACATGTAGCCAACTAATACAATGTATTTAAAGCCACAAATGACTATAGGTATTAGCTTTTCTAAAAATATTTTAATGAGCATTATTGGAGCTTTTTAGGCAAAGTTCAGTTTTACAATCAATGTAATCAGGCTTAAGGGATCACGAGAGGATCTTCAACATCCAAATTAACTTTTTGTAAAGCACAGCACTTAAACAAGAACGATTTTTATGTGAACCCAAATTTTATAATGAAGATAGTAATTTTTAGAAGAAGAAAAAATATGTAATTTAGTTTTTAAAAGATGTTATTTGGATTTCTAAAAGTTTGTATTTATATAAATTAATTTTTAAAATTGCTAATTTGTCAACAAAATTATTATTTTTAGACTAATTTGTGTAAAAAAGAATTTGAAAAACAAGAAATATATATATTTTTTTAAAGATCAATCTTAATATTTACTTTGTTCTAAATCTAGCATAAGAGGTAGGAAGTAGGAATTGATTATATATAAGGCCAAGGGTAATGAATTCATACTAATTATGTACATGATCCAACCTCATCTAATATATTAAAGTATGTTTGGATCCTTTTTTTTAAGTTAGAAGTTTATAAGCTAAAGCAAAAAAAAAAAAAAAAAAACTAGAATTGTTTGGTTATTACGTAAAAAATTTAGCTTAAAACATATATTTCAAGAAAACTCTTTCTGTATCTATAGTTTTTTATTTAAAAAAAAACCACAATTTAAGAAAAGCTAATAAGAGTTTAAAACAAAAGAAACTTTACTAGACGTAGAACCTCACACGAGAGTTTTGGTCGCATCCTTTTCAACGAGGAAATAGTTAATACGATCCAAGAAAGCTGAGAGATGTGGTTCAAAAACTTAGCCACATGGAAGGACTACATAGTTACTTAGGTTATGCATAACATTGTTCCTAAAAATAGTTTTTTATTTTTTTTCTCAATTTTTAATCTAAGGAACAGATTCGATTAAAAATTATGTTTTTTAAAACCAATTTATTTTCTTGTTACAGAGTGTAACCACCTGAAATTATTTCGTAAATAAAAACCATGGAGTGGTCACAAATTTTATTTAATTTGAGAAAAATTGAAAAACCTTTTATTTTGCAAACTAGTCTTTTAAAATTTTAGATCAAAATTCAGGAGTCTAATTATGCACGAAGAATGGTGGAAACTTAATCTCACTGTACTCCTATCACATTCATTTTAAAAAATAATTATCTTTAATTAATTGTGCAAATTATAATAATTGTTAAAAATATTTGCTTTATTCCTAAAGAGATATATGATTATTTAGATAGAAATAAAACTAAATTATTAAAATTTTATTTTAGGGCTTGACGAGAAAGATTCCACTCCCACGTATCCCTCGTTGCAATAAAGAATTCAAAGCTATGTTGCTCGATAGAAAATATTTATGTGTGTTAGTTGATTTTTAAAAATAGTTTGAAAGGATTTTGCTTTTGGGAACTCATTAAGTTTTGGGAATTTCAAGTTGTTCGGCTGTAACAGCCAAAATGATCCAAAATAAAATATGCAAGATCAACAAATCGTCACGGTCAAATAATCTCTACGATAATTTTAATATTACATGTTTTATTATTGGGATAGGATCAACTTACACCGATGTAAGAATAATAAATCTTACACTAAATCTTAACCGTTGACTAACGGTTGAGATTTATTGAGAATTAATAATTAATTAATGAGTGAGACCTTGACTAACGGTTGAGATTTATATAGAATTAAAAATTAATTAATGAGTGAGACCTAATAAATCTTAACTGTTAAATGCAAAAAATTAATGATTAAAATTTGGTGTAAGATTTATTATTCTTATACCGGTGTAAGATGATCCTGCCCTTTTATTATTACATAGTTTATGACAACTTAAAATAAGTTTCGGACCATCAATATATCGCAACTAAAATTATTCTGAACAAAAGCATGCGGGGTTAACAAGTCGCCGTAGCTAAATATGTAATAGTTTTATGGTTATCGTTTTTGGGTAGCACAAAATTTAGAATAGATTTAAATAAATTTTGGACCATGTTACAGCTAAAATGGTCCCAAACAAAATACATAAGATTAACAAGTCATCACGATTAAAACACCCTTCGTTGCAAATATTTCTAAAAAAAAAAAAAAATCTAATTTAATTTAATATATTATAAATAATTAAAAAAAGATTACTCACATTAGAGGAATACTAGGAATAAGTAAAAGATTGTTAAATTAAAGAAACTTATCAATAAAGCTTAATCACATGTGCATATTCATCCCTTCAGCCTCGGCCTCACGTTTCTATCTTATCTTTAATATTTTTATGAGTAAAGAATTTTTTTGTTTTCAACAAATAGTCAAATAGCATGATCCAATTTAATTTTTTAGAAAACAAAAAGTTGACTTGTGATCACAAATTTAAAATAGACTCGGGTTAGTTCTATTGAAGGACTAGCATGAGTCTTCTTTAAATTTTAGAATAACTACGATTTCAATTAATTGAGTCTATTTTAAATTTTAGAGGGATCATATGTCAATTTTTTTTCTTAGAGATTAAAATGAATTCCACGATTTTTGTTAAGTACCCAAAAAGTACTTTATTCTATTTTTATATTTATTTTTTTCAATTTTATAATTTCGTTATTTAATGTTATGACCTAGTCTTTACTTATAATAATGAAGAAAGATAAAGAAATGAAAAAGTAACATAAAATAATAAAAATAATACCACCTGCAATGGCGTCCCATAAACGTAAAAAAAGGAAAACTAAACTAAATGGGTTATAAGAATTAAAAAAATAAATAAATAAATAAAAAATAGATACGAAAATAGTAGATGGGTTACTCAAAATTAAAAAGAAATGTGGTCAAAATTGAAGAGCGATGGTGGTGTATCCCAGACTCATGGTCATGGGTAGTGTACAAGGCTGATGGGGTGTCAACTATCAACGGTGTTATCTAACAGAGAAGTTGGTTCTTTTCCACGGAAGATGATGGTTCCATTTGTTATAGTAAAGATTTAAAAGCAAAACCTGAGGTTCTTTATCTTTACTACCTTTTTTTTATTATTATTTTCATCTTGCAAAGAGACTTATCCGACTAATACAATAAATCGCAGAGGCACAAATGTTCAACCAGCATCAAAAATATATATATATATATATATATATATATATATATATATATATATTTATTTATTTATTTATTCAGAGGTAAGATACTTTGACACCAGTGTCAAATTTTAAATTTGACACCTAATCTCAGAGTCATTAGATCAAAAAAGATCAATGATGTCACATGCTTGCAAATCAAAATCGTTTGATCTTTTTTTATTTAACGACTCTAAGACAAAGTGTCAAATTTAAAATTTGATACCGATGTCTTATATATCCATGTTTAAGCTAAATACATGAGCTAATAGGCTTAGGATCTTACCAGGAGAAGAAAATGACGAATATTCTTCAGATGTCCTATGATTGGCGTCTAACTTGAGAAGTAAGTTGAGTGAACGGGTTTTTCCTATCTTTCAGATTCTTCTTCTTTTTCTCGAACGCTGTATTCTACGAAAATTTTCTTTTTTCACTTTCCCTTTCATGTCTCAGACACTCTTCTTCCTCCTCCCTCTTTCATACTTTCACTCTAAAAATCTTTCTGACCCCGCTTCTGGAAAACTCAAGAACTTCCCTTTCTTCTCTGAAATCTCCTTTCCTCTATTTGCTGACCTTTCTAACACCAGAATCCTTTTTAAGAGTTTTTGTTTTTGTTTTTGTTAATCTCCGTGGAAGAATTCCCGCCACTCTAAGTGACCACCTAACCTTTGCGCCTCTCTTCTCCCAACAGCAGTAGATTTTTCTGCCTAATATGATTTCTTGATTCTACTCTAACTCATCCCATTGGTGGTCAGTGCTTTGGTGTTTGTTGTTCAAGGTCCCTCTTTATGTTTCAAACGCTTGCTCAAACGCTTGCCTCTCCTTGGCATAATTTTATTCGCCAGCGTTAAACTCTTTTGTTTTGACTCTTTTGTTTTGGCTCGACAATGGGGAGCAAAGTCACTTTCAGCATGCCAACACTCTTCCTCGATCATTTTTTCGGTTTTTTTCTTTTTCTTTTTCTTTTTTACTATTTAATTATATTTTTATGTTTGGGTCCTCGACAAAAATCACGAAGCCTATTTTAATTTCTTACGAAAAAAGTCGACTTGTGAATTTTATAAAATTCAAAATAGACCAAGTTAATTAAAATTTTTGGTCCCTCTGAAATTCAAATAAGATCTACGTAACATGGGTATGTTTTGAATTTCAGAGAGGCATAAATAGACTTATTTTTTCTAAACAATTAAATTGGACCCCATGATATTTGTTGAGATCTCAAAAGGTGTTTTACTCTATTTTTATTTTATTTTATATTTTTTGAAAATAGGGGTTCACAATTTAAATTATTTTTTCATTATTTTTAAATTTTTGAGACAAAATTAGGTAATAAAATCGGATCGACCAGGCCAGTTTGACCCGAGAATTGGTAAATCGATCATATAATCAGTCTGGTTAAAACAATGGACCAGCCATGCATCAGAACCAGTGCGACCCAGTCGGTTAACCGGTGACCCGGCCCGGTTCCCAAAAAAAATTCCAATTTTTTTTTTCAAACGAAAATCATAATGGACATATTCGAATATTTTTTTGTTTATTGACTTACATAACTTATCTACGTACAACACTAATATTATCTCAAGTATGCACTATGCAAAAAAATTTGATTTGATTTATAGTTAGAGATATCGTTTACTGAACCTGAAGCTCCGTATCACGACTTTTATATTTTTGTTTGATCATTTATTGGATAATAATATGTGATCTATTATTTATATTAAAATATTTGAAATTTTTTTTTTTTTTTTAATATTTGAGTATGTTTAAAATTTTTTAATATAAATTATAGAATTGAATATAATTATTAGGTCATACAGTTGAACCAGTGACACACTGATTGAACCAGTAACTCAATCAATAAATTGGTTCTCACAGAGCATGAATCAATTAAAGAACAAAAATTGAAAAAATAAATTAACATTTTATTTCTTCTTTGTTCGCAGGCACACTTTATTAAATACACATATTACAGAATGTGTAATAAACATTTGAAAATTGGAACAAATAAAATGTGTTTGATTGATTGATATCAAACATAATTTTTCTGCCCAAAAACTCTTTCAAGCACTTAAATAAAAGAATTCCAATGGTTTTATCCCAATAGCTTAAAAAGTTTGTGGCATCCAATGAAAGAAGAATGTATTACCTTTTTGTTCCGGATGGTCCAAGCGCTGGTACAGCCCAGCTGGCCAGGCCCAATCCTCAGCCCCTAAGGGCTGACGTGGACTCTCGCGCCCTCCAACCTTGCAGCACATCCAAGGGATACACCAAAATGTCCCATCTCGGGACGCTAACTACCAAAGGCGCCAGCCACTGGCACCATAAAGGGAAAACTACCCTCAGTCCAGTGCTGACATTGCCAGACGCAGAAGGCACGGCGCTGCCCAAATGGCAGCGCCAAACACGCCCAACATTGCTATCATAGGAGTACATCCCAAGGAGGGTTGACCCCTCCTCACCAACCCACACTACTTTCCCTATAAATAGCCCCCATGGGCACAGCCAAAAGGCATCTTATGTATCGTTATATGGCCATTTACTTTGAGTCATATTGCTTACTGCGCTTACTTATTGTCTTGCTATTGCTTGGCATAATACCTCTTAGCCTGGTCTGTACCTAAGCTAAGGGTATCTCTCATACAGTGACTCATCCCTAAAGGGAACGTAGTGGGCTTATAGATTCCAACGGTACATTGGCGCCGTCTGTGGGAAACTATAAACTTCTATTCCCATTCTCTTACCCAAAGATCCATCTGACGGGTCATTTCCTCTAGCTACCAAACAATCGCCAAACGTATTTTTGCTACTGAACATGGTCACCACCAGAAGAGCGGAACACGCCAGGGCCACGACGCCAGAAGGACACGTACGGACAGTACAACCTAACTCACCCCCATCCATGCATTCAGCCCTAGCTGAGCAGGCCGCTGGAGAGGCCTTACCTCCTGTACTACAATACATAGGTCCACAGTTGCCAACGACTGGTGCTAGGGTCGCCCTACAGCATCATCAAGTACCCATGCACGAGATGCAGGGGGAAAATGTAGTTCCAAACCAACCACCACCCCCCGGAGTTCATTTTGGAATGCCATTTCCAGCAGCTGTTCCACGAACTGCCCATCTCGCCCATCCACCACTACCAACCCAAAGTCAACCACTGCCAGTATACAACGACCGTCGGGTACCCATGATCGCCTCATACCCACCTAGGCCATACACACATAACATGGCTATCCCTTTTCAACTACCTCACCAAGCTAGTTTCCCTTTTCATGGTTACGCCATGCAGCCCCATAACATAGTCGTTCCACAACCTCTGGCATCTTGTCTGGATCCCAATCAACAATCATATGGCGCTCAACAAGCTTTCCACCAAGCCCCAGCCCTCTCATACTCCGTGGAAGCCCCACAAATACCTCGACCACAACAAGATCAACATATCAGAATAACGCCTGCCTACACGTCAGGGCGTAACAAGCCTTTGACCGACAACTTGAGATTAACTCCCATACCCCTCGGTTTCAAGGGTCCCTCTGACATCGTCACATATGTTGGCGATACAGATCCTTTTGAGTGGATCCAAAAATTCGAAGTAGCAATGACACTCCATGGAGAAACGAATCTACTCATGTGCAGAACTTTCCCAACACTATTGGGAGGGAGAGCTCTGACTTGGTACACCACCCTACCAACAGGCAGCATTGCGTCCTGGGACGATTTAGCAAGCAAGTTCCAGTCCCATTTTGCAACTAGCTACCCCGTGCCAAAATCTGTGCACGCCCTTGAGAAGGTCCAACAGCTTTCTGGCGAGTCCCTCAGGTCCTTCCTAGACCGTTTTGATAAAGAGGCCTTACAAGTGCAAGGCCTAGACCCAAAGGTACAGGTACACATACTCTTGTCAGGCTTGCGACAAGGAGAATTTGCTTACGAACTCGCACGGCATGAGATTACTGACTTAGAAGAAGTCAAGAAAAAAGCACAAGAATTTATTAGAAATGAAGAATACAAAGTGAGTCGAGCTGGTGACTCCCACGATCAAGAAAAGGCGGTCAACAAGGGAAAGAACCACACTGATGAAAGTAGAAAAGGATACCAAGCATCCATCCGCTCCACCCGTCCTTCGGGGTGTGACACATCAGAACGACGGTCACACAGTGTCTTACAAACCGACTACAAAGAGGATCCCAAAAGTAGCCAACGGTCCCAGCAGCCAAGCAAAGAGGTCACAACATACTGCAAGTTTCATCGCAGTAATGGCCACAACACGGAGGAATGCAGGCGCCTCAAGGACGAGATTGAGGAACTCATCAAAGGCGGTACGCAGAAGCACGGAGGAGATAGCGCCCGCTCTTCCAGATCGGGTGGGCGATACCGTGACCGAAGCAAGTCGCCAGAAAGAAGGAGAACCAATCAATCCAACACTCGGTCCCGCCAGGGACGAGACAACAGAGAAGACTCACCTCAAAGAACCAGAACACAGGCGAGCCCGAGCCGCGGAGGAAGGCGCGTGGAAGAAGAAGACTCTGCTGCCATCAAACATGGAGTAATTAACATGATCTCTGGCGGTTTGAGCGGCGGGGGCGAAACATCCAACGCCAGAAAGAAGTATTTAAAACAGTGTCTGGCGGTTGCAGGAAAGGTGATCAGCAAAGGAAAAGGTGACTCTGGTCCAGCCAGGCCCAACATAGTTTGGGATAGCAACGAGTTGGGCGACGTCCTCCCAGGACATGACGACCCGCTTGTCATCCAAGCAATAATCGCCAATTATGGCGTTAACCGTGTATTTGTTGATCACGGCAGCTCCGCCGATATTTTATTCTTGCCCTGTTTCAAAGCGCTGGGATTCACGATTAATGATTTAACTCCTGTCGCAGGTGAACTTTCAGGTTTTAATGCTCCCACCACCAAGCCATTGGGAGTGATAAACTTGTGTCTCTCCCTTGGAACACCGCAACATCACGATCTGCAGACATCCAATTCTTAATGCTGGACACACCATCCGCTTACAACACCATCCTAGGCAGAAGAATGTTCGCCGCCTTTGAGGCGAGGGTCTTGCACCCCCACCTGGCAATGAAGTTCATAGCCAGAGACAATAACATCGCCACTATGCGAGGAGATCAAATTGTCGCCCGAAGTTGTTACAACATCTCTTTAAGGCCAATGACAAAGGTTACCTTCAAGGGAGAAGTGGCACCCAGCAGAAGGCGACCTCCCCAGTTAAAGGAAGTCCTAGCGTGATGGGGAAAGAACACAACCAATGCTTCCTAGTAGATTTTGACACTAGGGACGACCCTAGAGTGGAGCACGCCAAGCCCACGCTAGATGGAGCATTGGAACATGTGGTGTTGGGCGAGGCAGATCACCAGACGACGACAATCGCGGCGACCATCGACCCATAGGTCAAAGGCAAGCTGATCCAGCTGTTAAAAGAAAATAAAGATTTGTTCGCCTGGAAACCATCTGATATGCCAGGTATTGACCCAAACATATGCTACCACCGTTTGTCGGTAGATCCTAAAGCAAAACCAGTTTCACAAAAGAAGAGAAAGTTTGGTCTCGATCGCCAGAAGGTCATCGATGAAGAGATCAAGAGACTCCATGACGCCGGGTTCATCAGGGAAATCAAGTACACAACTTGGTTATCCAATCCAGTGTTAGTAAAGAAACCCAATGGTGCATGGAGAATGTGCGTTGACTACACTGACCTCAACAAGGTCTGCC